CTTCGTATAAACGTCGTTTTACGCCGTTATTACCGGTAGGACTGGAGAAAAACGGCGTTTGCACGACATTTGTGCCCATAATTATGAAAGTGGTCTGTCATATATTTTTTATTTCGAAATTACATTGAATTAATTTCGTTTGAAATAATATGGCGTGAAATAACTGATAAACTCATTTCTTTTTTTCATTTTGACTTAGACCACTTTCATAATTATGGGCACATTTAACGACGGTAGCTATAACATTGGTAGTTATAAAGCCAGCGTTAAGTAGCTCGTGTAAACGTACCAATTGATGGGGTATTTATTATTCGACCTTGTAATCCGCAACCAAGGGTGGTGCGATTAAAGTAATCTCCTTTTTCAAGCGACGTCGCCGAGGCTCGACTTTGTTCTCTGTAAATGTATATAAGACGTAACGTCGCTTACGTGTAAACGACTGCCAGGTGGATGAGGCTGATCGAAAGATGCGCTTCGCATCTCATCCTCGACGTGCGCTCCTCCGGGTATGCATACTCTGTGGCTTAATAAAGGCGATGTTTCGCTTCCAGCTCGAGAACCCGAGCCCTGCCTGGACATTTATTTTCTTCTCATTATCCTATTCAACGATTGTTGCGTACATACATCCTGACACATTAGATTCAACCACATGTTTAAGGTGAAGTGAAACACGTCGAGGAACTTGATCGACGTCGATAAAGAAGATTTTTCTAAACACCTACGTTACCGACGTTCGTTTTTATATTGACAGCTGTGTGGAATTACATTAAATATTATACCAAATGGCATACTCCACCTGTCGTTTTCTTACAATAAATATCAAGAAATCGAAGTAAAACTCCAGAAATCCTCTGGATTCGTGCTTTCTGGGGCCCTAATTGGCTGCAGAGGGACCCCCTGCGCCATCTGTGATTTCCAGGTCAATTAAATCTTCACTCCGAGACCTCGTATTCCCATCGTTTTAGCATAGAAGCGCATACAACACTTTTTTTGCCTTTATTCCGTTCAAATGCGAGTTTATCGATTACCAGAGTGTTCTAAATTGTAGTAAAATTGTCCTGACCCTTTTGATTCTCATATCAGAGCCTTCGATAATTGCAGATTGATCGAAATATGAGAGCTCGACGCCATTTCGGTTCTGGTCTGGGCTGTTAAGACATTTTTTCCAAAAATATAAATTTTGAATGTGTCAGGACAATTCTTAGATGATCAGGAGTATGTGTCAAAGTTTCGGACAGTTTGGTCTAGTACCCTTAAAAAAAAGTGTGGTATTCGAATCGACTGATTTGAAGGGTGTTTCACTTCACCTTAAAGTGTAGAAAGTGTAGGCAAAACGAACAAACCTATAGCTGAAAGAGAACCACATAGAACGAAAGAAAAACTTTTCTTATGAACGGATTTATTTCCTCGTTATCAAAATAAAATGCATCCTCTTTACACGCGTACAATAAAATATCTTAAACTCGATAACTACAGGAACAGGTTTTAAGAAAAAGCTTACGATTAAAGCGTTCATGGCCTAAGTTGTCGGATGGTTCCAGGGGATCGATTCTGTGACTTTGTCGAGAGTGCTCACTTCTCGTACTCTCACCTCACGTGAGTTTATTCGCCCGGTTCTCCGAGTGAAAATGTGAAATCTCCAGATTAAAGGAACTTGGTTCGAGATCTCGGAGTTTCTCGTCGAGTTGTCACGCGAAGTATCTCACATTTTTACCATAGTGAATGTTATGAAATCACGGGAGACGTTCACTTTTAGAATTATCACTAGATTCGAGTTACAGAATTGATCCCCAGGGGGTCTACTACGTGTAATAAAATTGTACATGTAATAAAATTGAGCGAAAATGTGAAAAATGAGTAGCCCACGGTATTATGGAACGTTCTTGGTGATGAAAATGCGAGACCATTCATATGAATTGGCTTGGCACAAATTTTTAAGCGAAATGGTGAAGCATAAACTCGAGTCCTCTTCTTTACTTATAACAGTTTTTCATCTTCCCGCCTTTCCTGCTTATAACACCCTACCTCTCACAATTTTCGATTTACAAGGTATCCACCTTTATTTAAAAATATTACTAGACCGGAAGCGCTAGTGATCTCGTTCTTTCATACAGCGAATACGTAATTCAGCGAATAAACCCACGTGAGATGAAATGACGCAAGGCGAAACGATAATATACAGAATGTGACGTTTTTAACGCAACAAAGACTACCGGTCGATAATTTTTAATTGCAAAATTTCATCGGAGGCGCTTTCGACCCTAGATAGGAAAAAATCTGAAGATCTTGGACCCTTAAGGTGGGGACGATTTCAACAGATGGCGTTGTATCTCGTGCTACTTGGTAGTAAAAACCTTTCGGGGTGAGAGGATTCGTCGTTGTCGACCACTTCCGGTGTCTAGGACATGCAGGAAGACTCGTCGACGGAGAACTCGGCACAGCCAGGAGGTGCGTTCTTGTAGAAGACGCAGGAGACGCCGATGGCCGCTCTTCTGGACCGAAAGAGTTCAACGTGGACATGTATGCGACTCTGCGTTAATTCCCATCACCTTATTTCCATATTTTTGTAGTTACAGGCAAGTGTGGCGACTCACGAGTAGTCCATCTTCCGTCGTTTTCTCAGCGCGAATCGGTGCTGTGCTTCGTTGAACGCTTCGACGCCGCGGGCGTCCCCGGAAGCCTGGAAGAACAATGCGGATTTAACATCAACATCATTTTAAAGTGATATGAAAGGCGCTGAGAAATTTAATCGACTACGATAAGATAAAATCCATGTATACACTTTTTGGTGGTAACGCCATTTTGAATACTCAAGTGGTAAACGTAGGCTGGCGCGTCCCGTTACCGACATTTATACTTATGTTGAAGTCTTTTACAGTCTACGTTGAGAATTATTCGAAACGAAGCGTTTCATATGCCATTTCGGTAAAGTAATAATAAATAAGATCGGATTTAACATCAACATCATTTTAAAGTGATATGAAAGGCCCTGAGAAATGTAATAGACTACGATAAGATAAAATCCATGTATACACTTTTTGGTGGTAACGCCATTTTGAATACTCAAGTGGTAACGTAGGCTGGCGCATCCCGTTACCGACATTTATACTTATGTTGAAGTCTTTTACAGTCTACGTTGAGAATTATTCGAAACGAAGCGTTTCATATGCCATTTCGGTAAAGTAATAATAAATAAGATCGCATGTAACATCAAGCAACATTTTAAAGTGATATGAAAGGCGCTGAGAAACTGAATCGACGTTGATAAGATAAAATCCATCTGTACCCTTTTTGGTGGTAACGCCGTTTTGAATACTCAAGTGGTAACATAAGCTGGCGCATCCCGTTACCGACATTTATACTTATGTTGCAGTCTTTTACAGTCTACGTTGAGAATTATTCGAAATGAAGCGTTCCATATGTCATTTCGGTAAAGTAATGATAAAGAGTTTGGCGTAAAACTGTCGAAATCCCGTGAATTCATTATTCTAACGACTACTTAGAACCAAATGCGCCATCTGTGACGTTTAGCTGCAACTAAATTTTTGCTCTAAAAACATCCGTTTATCACGAGACAAGCCAGCATTCTTCTACGATCGTTGGCGAAAATATCTTCCCTATTTTCCCATCCGACTCTGTAATATTCTATTTTTATGGTATTTTAAATAGTTCCAGTTAGGTCCTGAAACTCTTCATTTCCGATTCTAAGCCCTCAAGAGGCGTAAAATATCGAAAACGTGCACGGATGACGTCGTGTTGGTTCTAGTACATGATAATCAATTTTTTTAATGAAAAATGAAGTTTCATGGGTTTCAGGACCTACCTTATATCCTTCATATTTATATTACACAATTTGAATCGATTCAGTACCTACAATTTGGAGAAAAGTTCCATGAAGAGAACTGACGCCACTTTCACATCAGCTTAAGATGCAGTCTATGTCCACGTAAAGTTACAGTATCAATGATCAATGAAAAATGAATGAATCAATAAAAAGATGTTTATGAAAGAGTTGAGGTAAGCTTGGATGTTTTTACGAACCATTGGCACTTGTTCCGAAGCTGCGGTCTTTTCCGCGTCCTTCTGCGACCTCTTCAGCTTCTCTCCCATTTGAGAGGTCCTCCGTTTCTGGGGAATTAAACGTTAATCTCATTCATCACAATCTTATACAGGTATACATATTTTTATCTTGCAAATTCCTTGCACGAAGACTTTTAGAGGAACTATTTCTCGGCAAAGTCAAAGGCTAACACGGCTTTCCTGAATTTTAACGCTAAATTCTATGTGCAGAATCTTATTTTGATAAACATAGGAGACAAAACGCCAATGGCCACAACGGTGGTTCCACGGAAAGTGGAACCAGGATCTCAGATTTTCGCTGATCCAACTACGCTAGCGCCACCTGCGGAAAATGAGGGAACTCCAATCCTACGTGATCATCACATTTCCTACCGACGTAAGTCACCTAAGATGCTTTTAATTTTGCAATTAATCGTAATTATCGTTTCACTTTGCGTAGATACGCAAGTTTTGCAATTAATCTTAATTATCATTTCACTTTGCGTAGATACGCAAATTTTGCAATTAATCTCAATTATCGTTTCGCTTTGCGTAGATACGCAAGTTNTTTTTGCCTTTATCCCGTTCAAATGCGAGTTTATCGATTACCAGAGTGTTCTAAATTGTCGTAAAATTGTCCTGACCCTTTCGTTTCTCATATTAGAGCCTTCGATAATTGTATATTGATCGAAATATGCGAGCTCGACGCCATTTTCGTTCTGGTCTGGGCTAAATTAAAAAATTTCTTCAAAAAATCCAAATTTTGAATGTATCAGGACAATTCTGAGATGATCAGGAGTAATGTGTCAAAGTTTCGGCCAGTTTTGTGTAATACCCTTAAATGAAAGTGTTGTATTCGACTCGACTGATTTGAAGGGGGTTTCACTTCACCTTAATATTCTATTGTATGGAGTCCTTCGAATTCTCATTTTTGGGGGTCTTTAAATTCTTACGTCAAGATTAGTCACCGAATTCCCTTTTGTCCGAGACGAATTCCCCGAGACGTCCTGAGACTTCCTTCTCCTCGGTTCCGTGAAGTGATTGTTGCGCTTTTCGTTAGGGCTTTTGACTTGTCTTTTGCGCTCCGAATTGGCTTGGTCCTGCAAAACGAAATGAAAATGTAAATTTTAATAGCATGAAACCACCTGGAAAATGGCTACTTCGGATACTCATAAGGTTGAGTGAAACACGTCGAGGAACTTGATCGACGTCGATAAAGAAGATTTTTCTAAACACCTACGTTGCCGACGTTCGTTTTTATATTGACAGCTGTCTCGAATTACATTAAATATTGTACCAAATGGCATACTCCACCTGTCGTTCTCTTACAATAAATATCAAGGAGTCGAAGTAAAACTCCAGAAATCCTCTGGATTCGTGCTTTCTGGGGCCCTAATTCACTGCAGAGGGACCCCCTGCGCCATCTGTGATTTCCAGGTCAATTAAATCTTCACTCCGAGACCTGGTATTCCCATTGTGTTGGCATAAAAGCGCATACAACACTTTTTTTGCCTTTATCCCGTTCAAATGGGAGTTTATCGATTACCAGAGTGTTCTAAATTGTCGTAAAATTATCCTGACCCTTTCGTTTCTCATATCAGAGCCTTCGATAATTGTATATTGATAGAAATATGAGAGCTCGACGCCATTTTGGTTCTGGTCTGGGCTAAGTTAAAAAATTTTTTCCAAAAATCCAAATTTTTAATGTGTCAGGACAATTCTTAGATCTTCAGGAGTGACGTGTCAAAATTTCGGACAGTTTGGTCAAATACCCTTAAAAAAAAGTGTTGTATTCGAATCGACTGATTTGAAGGGAGTATCTCTTCACCTTAAGAATTGTCCTCGTACTTAAAAAAAATGTGAATTTGCGAAACAAAATTTGTTGACTTAGCATAGTCCAAAACCAACATGGCATCGAGCTCTCATATTTCGATCGATATCCAATTATCGAAGGCCCTAATATGAGAAACGCAAGTGTCAGGACAATTGTATAACAATGTAGGACACTCTAGAAATCGAAAAACTCGCATTTGAACGGGATAAAGGCAAAAAAAGTGTCTTATGCCCTTCTGGGATAAAACGATGGTAATACGACTTCTCGGTGTGAAAATTTAGTTGACGCGGAAATCACAGATGGCGCAGGGGGTCTCTTTGCAGTTAATCAAGGCCTCAGAAAGCATGAATCCAGAGGACTTCTTGAGTTTTACTTCGATTACTTTATAATTATTGTACGGAGTATGCCGTTTAGTACAATACCCAATTCGACACGGGTGTCGATATAAATACGAACGTCGGTAACGTAGGTATTTAGAAGACTCCTTTTACCGACGTGTTTCACTTCACCTTCATTTGAAACTCACTTGATTTGATTTCGGACTCTCCAGCATGGAAGCTATCGAGGATCCCTGAGAGTTTCCTGGGCTGTAAACGGACTGGTTGTCCTTTACGGAGATGCGTTCTCCTGGTTAAAGAAGAGATATATTAACCGTAATGAATAGTTACTGCGATCACTGATGGAGGCAATAAGACAATTCTGATTTATTAATTACCAGTCCAGTAGGAGAGAGGTGGCATGATTCTCCGACCCTTCGAACTTGTCGAAATGCTGAGAGTCGTCGTGGAATTATTGTGCAAGTGTACGGTTGTATTCTCTAAACGGAAATATATATACATATTTCATTAGTCAGTTCTAGTAATTTCCTTACAGTACAAATTGCTTCGGGAACGACGTTAAGGTGATATGAAAATCGAAAGTGATAATCCGAGGGATCAATCATTCATGAAACCTTTCTCCACAATGGGTGTACTGAATCATTTCAACTTTTCCAACGTGAATGTGAAGGCTATAAGGAAGGTCTTGAAACTCATGAAATATCATTTTTTATACAAAATGTTGAAAATATGTATAAACAAATTTTTGAACAATTGAAATTTCATGGACGTCGGCACCTTTCTTATAGTCTCTGTATTCACATTGTACGGTTTCAAACAATTCGGTACATCCAGTTCGGAGATAAGTATCATAAATAAAACCTCTTTGATGACCCTTTCACATCGCCTTAAGGTGATATGAAAGGGTCATCAAAGAGGTTTTATATATAGCCCTTAAGGTGATATGAAAGGGTCAGCCGATATATCAGAAAGGTCAAATCGTTCGTAAAAGTATTCTCCGAAGTGGATATACCGATTTGTTCAAAAATTTGCCACGTGAATGTGAAGGCGCTAAGGTAGGTCCTGACACTCATGAAATTTCATTTTTTATCCGAAATTTTAATAATTCCTATAAACAATTTTTATAAAAATTGAAATTTCGTCACTGTCAGGACCTTTTTTTTAGCTTCCATGTTCACATTGTCGAGTTTGAAACGATTCGGCACACTCAATTCGGAGAAAAGTTTCATAAACGCGGCTTCTTCCCGCCATTTTCACATCAACTTAGATGTTAATGTTAACCTATGATTGGGTAATCAATGATTTAACCGAGGTTGGTGGAACCGGTCATAACTGCAACCATGACGTCGAATTTTACGCGATTTTCTTTTCTCTGACGTCACTAAATATGGCCGACTTACCTTTACCGGATCCTTCGAGTAGCTCTTCCTTCGCCGCTTCCCACGCCTTGCAAAAGTGGTTTATCTTCCCGGGACATCCTCGGCTACATTGTTTCAATAATTTTCTTGGAACGACTGTAAGAACGATGTCGGTTGGTGAAGAGATGGCAAAAGGTTGTTAATCGTATAAAATTAAGATGATATGAAAGACGCTGAGAAATTGAGGTCGATAAAATAAAAAAAAAACGGCGCCATCTGTGACGTTTAGCCGCAACTAAATGTTTGCTCCAAAAACGCGCTTACCACGAGACAAGTCAAGAGTCTCTTGTAAACATTGGTAACAAATGTAAAACGGTCGAAATCTCGTGAATTCATTATTCTAACGACCATTTAGAACCAAAGGCGCCATCTGTGACGTTTAGCTGCAACTAAATGTTTGCTCTAAAAGCGCGTTTACCACTAGATAAGCCAGGATTCTCTTGTAAAGATTGGTAACAAATGTAAAACGGTCGAAATCTCATGAATTCATTATTCTAACAACCATTTAAAACCAAAGGCGCCATCTGTGACGTTTAGCTGCAACTAAATTGTTGTTCCAAAAACGCGTTTACCACTAGATAAGCCAGGATTCTCTTGTAAACATTGGTAACAAATGTAAAACGGTCGAAATCTCGTGAATTCATTATTCTAACGACCATTTAGAACCAAAGGCGCCATCTGTGACGTTTAGCTGCAACTAAATGTTTGCTCTAAAAGCGCGTTTACCACTAGATAAGCCAGGATTCTCTTGTAAAGATTGGTAACAAATGTAAAACGGTCGAAATCTCGTGAATTCATTATTCTAACGACTATTTAGAACCAAAAGCGCCATCTGTGACATTTAGCTGCAACTAAATTTTTGCTCCAAAAACGCGCTTACTACGAGATAAGCCAGGATTCTCTTGCAAACGTTGGTAACAAATGTAAAACTATCTAAATCTCGTGAATTCATTATTCTAACGACCATTTAGAACCAAAGGCGCCATCTGTGACATTTAGCTGCAACTAAATGTTTGCTCTAAAAGCCCGTTTACCACTAGATAAGCCAGGATTCTCTTGCGATGGTTGGCGAAAGTATTTTCCACATTTTCCCATCTGATTCTGTAATATTCCGTTTCTACGGTATTCTAAATTGTTCGAACTAGGTCCTGAAACTCTTCCTTTTCAATTCTGGACGTGTTTTACTTCACCTTAATCGCATAAAATTAAATGCTTGAAATTTTTACCCTGCTTGACGTCGTTCAAGTCCCCGACGAGCTCATAGAAGTCGTGGTTCACAGTTTCCACGAGCCTTGATGAGAGTCTCCGTAAAACTAGATCGGTAGAGAACTTCCTGAGTGTAACGTGGCCAGCCTCACTGTGGAAAGACATTCAATTAATCGTCACTACATTTTCATACGTCATCCTGATCTACATACTAACTGGATAGCTGATACCGAGGGTTGGGCAAGCATAATACGTCAAGTAATATATGTGCTTTTCTACACGTATATTACAACGTATAATACGTCCCTAGTTTTCTACGCAGGCACAAAGTATATTACTCCAAACTAAATGTGCAAAGTGCATGCGCAATATCTTCAATAACCAATGAGAGTCCACCTATTTATCTCTAAGAGAAATTCTCATTAGCTATTAAGAGGATTGCGCTTTACACATCCACAAATCAGCGCACATTCGAAATCAGCCTTGGAAATTTGAAATCTATGCATATATGTGCATATGACGTTTCTTTATAACGGCTGATGACGGCTGCTTGAAGTCGTAAGATTCGTACAACGACACTGTCAAACTGAACACGATACACGGACATAGTGTGCACTGTATTGACCAGTAGAACAATGAACAAACACACATGTTTAGTGGTGCTATTCTACACCAGTGCGGTGCAGTGTACTCAGCTAAAAACACTATAAAAATTTCTTCGTCAACACCTAGCTAGGATTCACTTAAGATTTAATTATGCATCGATGTAATTTTATTCAATTCGTCCTTTGCAGGGCGAACTTAGGATGTTCTAGCTAGGCTTTGCGTAAAAAAGTACAGCGTTCCAACGAAGGCTATACATTTGTAGGTTAGGATCCTAACTAGATCTTAGCCAGCATCCAGATTTTATATACGAGTATTTGAACAGGGTCGCAGAAGCGTACTTGAGTAGTTTGCCTTCGAAGATCAATCCCAAACTCGATGTATCTCCATGGACAACGCGCGGAGACCACGAGGTTAACTTGTAAGGATTATCCATTGCTCCCAATCTTGTAGTCTTCGATTCCACTTTTTTCTCCTCCGGTGAAGTTCGATGAACGTTGCTGGCAAAACGATCCGGCACAGAGCAGACCTCGACAACTTTATTTTCTTTTACCGACACTGGTGGAATTGCAGCTTCGGAAACACTTTTATGCACCACTGGGACACACTTTTCAACTTGAGATGGATACTTCGCAGGATGACTTCTTCTACTATCGAGAGACTCCCTGTCATAATCTGCCTCACTTTCCGTCAAACTACTGGTGGACTCTCGACTGGGAGCTCTCTTGCTCTCCCGATCCTTCGATAAGGAGTAATAACTCTTCCCTTGCAAAATCGGTTTTTCTCCAGAGACTGATTTCTCTCTCGGAGTTTCGTTCTTGACCACTTTTCTAACGTTGTCTGAATTCCTAACTCTGGGAAGTCTTTCCCTCGGTCTCCGACTTTCTCGTAAGATCTTCTCTGAAGGAATCCTCAACACTCCGGCATACGTTTCACTCTCCAATGCTTCGGAGTCTCCGATTCCTTCTCGATGAGGACTTCTGGAGATGGCGTTGAATTCCACACAGGAAGAATTTAACCTGGAATTGTTCTCTTTACCTGCACCCGAGTCTTCGGTGTAGCAAGCAAAATTCTGGTCAGATCGATGACTTGGTTCTTTGTTCGAAGCGTTCTTCTGCTCTGGCATTGACTTGTACGAAACCACATAATTCATACAGTCAAGCATCTGAAAGAGCTTGTCGATGTACTCACGTGAACAATTCTTATCGGCTAGATTCTCTATGATTATGCTGAGTTTATCCTGATAAATGATGTCTGTCAACTTGATCGAACTGCTCGGTAGAGGTGACGAGTTGCTGTCATTGCTCGGTCCAGTGTTTTGGTTTTCCTTGTCAATGGATGTGTGATGTGTCTCCAAATTCTTATCGTAATTGCTTGCCAAAACTTTGGACGTCTTTTCTTCGGTATCTTTGTTTGAACTCCTGAGGGAGTTTTTGTCTTCGGCAGGTTTGAGGTTATTATTGCTGCAACAACTGCAATGGCTTTCTGCAATGCTTAGTTCTTGCTTTTCATTATAGGAATGGCGAGGGTTAGAGATGTTTTGACGCTGTTTTTGGATTGGAGCTGGAATCTTCTGATTCGTCACAATTGTTTTACGAATGGATGTACAGGTTAACTCCGTAATATCACTTCTCAAATCGTCGTCACTGTCCGTCACTCTAGTTGGCCAACGGAAGTTTGGTTTACTGCCCGATGCTACGAAATGCCTCCAAATCTCATAGACGTTTTCCCAATCATCTGGAAAGCCATTGAAGAACTTTCCACGAACGTAATCTGGGAGTTCTGTAAAGTGTAACACGAATATTTGTATTTACTCCTTTCTTTAAATTTGATTTCTCCTATACTACCGTTCATATATATTAGAACTCTTGATTAGCAGATGACGATAACACATTTCATGATCACATTTCTGATCTGTTTTTCATGAAATTTAGGAACTTTATTAGCGTCTACACATATATGATCGGTACTGTATGTAGAATCGTATGCATGCATAAATGTATTTGGCGTGACACTCAACCGAGTTTCTGATCTTACCATTTCTCTCGTCTACGATGTTTCCTTGCAGATGATAAATGTGCTTGTACACAGACTGAACACTGGAGGCAGACAATCTTCTTATGACAGGTTTACTGCGCGAAACTTTGCCACTAAAAATAAACACAAAGTTGCAAGTACGACGCCAAAAAAAAATGGATTACATTGCACTTCTTACGATTGATAATTATGCATAAAAGGTTGATCCTTTCCGATGTTCATATAATTTTGATATATTGTAGAGGACATCGTCTCCAGTATTTCCATATCTATATTTAAGGTGATATGAAAGGGTCATACAATATATATAAAAATGTGAAAATATTTATAAAACTTTCCTCCAAATTGGGTGTACCAAATAATTTGAAACTTTAACATGTGATTATGGAGGCCCTAAGGAAGAAAGCGATGTTTGTGAAATTTAATTTTTCAAAGAAAATTTGTTTCTTTCATTTAGCCTAGACTAGAACCAAGATGACATTTTTTGTGATAAATGAAATTTTACAAGCATCGTGTTAAAGTATCAAATAAGTAAATATCAAATACAATATATATCATACTATATATAATATACATACGATCCCACCACACAGTTACGTAACAATAATATAACCGTTACATAACGTTTTTAATATGTAATGAAATATACATATAATATATAAGATTGGTGTTACTATTTCTTACGCAGCTACATAACCCTGTTATAAAACGGATAATGTAACCTATACCTAACATATCGGTAACATGTTATAGGTTATGTTAATATCATATAACTGCAATGCTAACAAGTTTGTAACAATGTTACCAAACGGTAATCATTTGACGTCGTATGATATTAATGTACCCTTTAAATAACATTTGTTACATATTATGTTATTCCAGTGTTATGAAACGGTAACATAGTGTGCTCGTTGGGATATATACCAAGTGATTTATGTAATTTGAGACAGCGACATATCTGGAGAAATAGGCATCGTACGAAAAAATTATCCAGAACGAATATTATTTGTATCAGAGGGCACGCAAAGAAAAAAATGAATCACTCTGTATATATAATATACAACATATCGAAGTTATACGAAAATCAGAGAGGATCTCTCTTTTATGCAGAATTATCCTATGACTTACCCCTCTAAGGTTCCTTTAATAATTAATTGGCCCTGATCGTTGAGCATGACTCTCCATTTGGAAAACAGCCGTTCCAATTTTAAGTGTGGATCCTGAACATTTTGGCAAGCATTACCATCCAGATTACTTTTGTACTTATTCAGATCCTTATCGGAAAAGTTAACGCAGGCTCGAGTCATGCGGCTGTCAAAATCACAAGCACTGGAAGCTGCACCTTCAGAAGTCATCGCATGATCGTTTGCACCCACTGTAGGTCTGTGAAGAGGTCCACTGTTTTTTGAATTATAAGAAATGACTTTAACACTACTCGGAGGAGGCATAGCCTTGAAATCGTCGTCCTCCTTTATCACGGATCCTTTAACACTCGAAGTAGCGGTTGTCTTGTGATTGTCTATCAGGTTCTTCTTCTGTAGAAGCCTCTTCCTTAAATTAGTGCTGGAGGACACTACTTCGCTTCCGATCCTTGAGGAGTTTAAGAACGGAGAGACGCTGCTTAGGTCGAATGTATCGCCATTGATGCTGGAGACACTCGACAGAGTCGGTGTCACGAGTCCTGCTCTCATGTTGTTCTTGTTGGCCTCCATTCTTTTCATAAGGCTTAATTTTAACGTGCGCTCTAGCTTTCTGTATCTTTCGTCAGCCTGGTAGTCCCCGAACGTAGTCTGCAAGTTAAATTATGAATTAGCTCCTCTCGTTAACGATTCTGAAATTTCATTTTTTTTTAGAAAAGAAGTTTAAAGATATTTATGAACATATAATTAATTAAAAATTGAAATTTCACGAGTGCCAGGACCTTCTATATAGATTTCATATTTACATTGCAAAGTTTGAAACGGTACACTAAGTTCGGAGAAAAGTTTCATAAACGAGATCTCTTAACACGTTAATTATGAAAGGCGCTGAGTACTTTAATCAATATCGATAAAACAAAATTCACCTATACCCTTTTTAGTGTTAACGCCATTTTGAATACTCAAATGATAACATGAGCCGATACACCGCATTATCACATTTTTATTTATGTTGATGTCTGTTATGCCGTACGCTGAGAATTATATGAAATAAAGCGTTCCCTATGTCCAATGCAAAATTTCCAAAATGGCACCACTGTACAGCGTTGTCAACCTCAGTTCTGTTTACTCTAGTACAGTCGGATTAAAATAATAGTACAATCTGGTACGATAAAAAAATAGTACAGATTAAAAATTTCAAAGTTTCAAATATTTAAATAAAAATTTTGCATGTATTTAAAAAGGAAATGGAATGAAATTCAATGCATTAAACAATTATTAATACTGAACTGAAAATGAATGTGGAAGGGTTTAATTTAATTTCCTATTTCAACAAAGTATAAATGACTTTACAAACAAAACCAAAAATATAAACAAATATATCCATCGGTAATAACAAAGTCGTCTGTGGTCACAGTTACACTTTCTATTGAAATAATAGTACAATTTGTATACTATTATTCTTCTAAAAATGCATTGTCGATTAAATTCCTAAGTATCTTTCACATTACTTTAATTTCATTTATCAACAAAATATAATAAAACACCTACCGTTATCATGTTATGTAGAGAGAAATTTAACGTTGGTCTTCCATCAGTTGTACCCGTCGATTCCGTGCCCTAAAATGAGTGTAAAAGATTCAAAATCCAATTTCGAAATTCACTTTTAATGTATCTCTATAGCATTGACCAAAATAGATTTGTTTTACATCGATCGAAAAGAGCTTTTTAAAGAAGGAAAAGGTAGCTTAAGTTGCCAAGAGGCCCCATAACTTGTTACATAAATTTATACGTATGTTACAGTACATTCCACAGTTAACAAGTTAAGTTGCAATGCACATGTAATCTGCGATAATTCATTTTGAATTTTAAATTCTGTATCTACGATCAAAAAACTTGGACAAAAGCTTTATCAAATCATTTACTTTGTCTTCAACACTTTAAGACGTTGCCATTGCCTATCATAAAACTGTTTTACAACGCTGCCGTTTCATGTAGCAAAGATTTATGTCTTTCGGATATCATTTGATTAATTTTAACGTGTGTTCATTGACTGAATTTCATTATGACCATAAAAATAAAGATGAATACATTGAGATAAAGAAAAATAAAAAAAAACAATTTTTCTGTAGAAATTTGTACACTTTATATCATTATGAGAATATATAATTTCATATTGTATAGATGTTTATTTTTAACACATTCAGACCGTGTCCGAATTCGCTCTAGTACGTAATATACACTACATACTGCCCTATGTACTAAATATACGTGGAACTCGAACAACTCTTGCATGCATATTACGCACATGCGCATAAGATAGTTGGCTAATGCGCGCCAATTTTAAATGAACTTTGATTGTTGTTAAAATCGTCCTTGTTGTATCTGTGCCAACCTATAATTAGTTATTTCATGTAACATTAGAATATGCTGGACAAGATCAAATCACCCCGCTTGCCTAATTTGTGTCATTATTTTTGAGAATGCACATTGTTCATTCTCGGCAGATACCGTATTCCCAGGTTCAATATTCATCAAAGACGATCGAATGCTCCTGTATGACTGTTACTGTATTGCCCCATATTCATTTAAAAAGACGACAAATCTAATTACATATCAAAATAAGCGATCGTTAATATTTCCATAATTGATGAAATCTAGATGATGAGAACGAATTAGAAGATTGGTCGGAGTTCCAAGATGATGGAAAAAGTTGCAAGAAAGTTACATCGTCGCAACTTTGCTCCTACCACTTTTGAGGCATGTGCATAAGTAATGGGACAGAATTAATACGGAGCTAGTATACTCTAGATGCAACGTTTGACGAATTCGAACACAGCCTCAGTGCCGAAACGCATGACAAGTATGCTGTCATAAATCAACCGTGAGACGTATATGCCCCATGTGGCATGGAATCTGTTAATTATCCTATTTTTTACTTCATTCATATCAGTTTACGTCATAACATGTGGTACGTTAATTTAAATGTTTGACTATTCCCTCGTAATGCTTTAAACACTGACACATCTATGATGGAAATACATGGTTGGTTATATTTTTTTAATGAAAGATTCTTATCGATGCTTTTCGTCCAAGACACGAGTCCAAATGATCGAACTTCTAGTTACACACCTATTTAAAGAAGAACTTTAAGAAAGCTCTTTGTTAATGGATACAAATCTTCAATTGTAATGTATATGAAATTAGTCGCAATTTCTTTGGAATTTTATAAGAAATGTACACAGTAACTTACGTCGTATGTCGGACTGGGCCGAACGTTTGCCATAACCACTTCGCTTACGAGTGAATACAATATTCTAACCAATAATTGCACGAACGGGTCCCTTCAAGAGCACCGCTTTTTCTCTGCCTCTCTGTTGCGTCGTTAATTGTTTGAGGCGCATACCTTCCTCGTATTCTTGACGATTTAAATCGCTTCCCCCATTTCATCACAGAGCTGTTTTCAACAGTTTCAAACTCGGCATCTGCGTACTTGCCTTCGATTTGAATTTCGACTGTTAGGAGCCCGTTCAGGGAGAGGATTGGATCAGGTTATACCAGCTGATCCGAAAGCAGCCAATGGCTGTGCAGAGTTGACTGGAAAGGACCAATGGCTGTGCAGAATTGACTGGAAAGGACCAATGGCTCGTCAATAGTGGCTACTTTGCTGATTCTTAACGTTCCCGCGACTGCGCCTCCATCGCACTCGTAAATTCGGGATTTATCGGATCAGGATTCAGTAAAAGGCATCTATCGTATTAATACATATACAAATTCTATTATAAGCGTCTCGAACGACACTTACTTTCGGATTTACTAAATCCGGATACGATAAATCCCGGATTTCGTGCACGATGGAGACATAGTGACAACTTCCCCATCGTCCGTCTAAATCCGGGATTTATCAAATCCGGATCCAGTAAATCTTAGGCTTGTCGCTTTTCCACTTTCTACGCTTTTACGAAAAGTGTACACTTTAGCGTTCGTTTTGACGGAAGTGACGCAGATGTCGCTGTTCGTTTCACGAGGGCATCTACCCCGAGTGTACACTTTCTCTACACTTTCTACCCTCGATCCCGAGCGAGGGCAAGAAGAGTAGTCCGCGAATTTGGCGGCAAATTTGAAAATTGAAAAGATCAACAAACAGGAAAATACAAAATTTATGCTAATGTCTCAACGTAATATAAATAGAAGGAATTATTAATGCATCTTCTTCGTGTATAGAACGATTTAGCGTTTTAGTTTTGTACGTAATGTTTGAAACAATTTACAATAATTATGTATTACTACCTAACCGCGGATGGAATGAACTAAACTACAATTTTTCCCTGTTGTAGTTAAATTGTTTTTCATTCTACTGCAATAATATTTTGACCCTTATTGATCTTCGATACCTGAAATTCGTGAAAGGAATTTTCATCTTCTACAATTACAAGGTAATAGAACGAATTGTAGGATTTGAAGAAAACGAAGACAGCCCAAGAAGGAAGACTGGAGGAAGCATTACATTTTCGTATTCGTCATCGTCCGATACGGATAACCTCAAAATCGCGTACCTCTCTACAAAATCGGCCATCTTGAAATTTCTTGAGATTTCTGGCGTTCGGGACGTCGACGAGAGTGTATCTACCCTTCTGCACTTTTCAAGAAAAGTGTATTACCCTGGTACCCCCGAGTGTAGAAAAAAGCCGTTAAAAGTAAAGAAGAGGACTCGAGTCTATCCATATTTTTTAAATATGTATTGCATTCATATATACATGCACTATAATTAGAAGTTCAACGATATAATTTTCATATCATATGTAAGCTGGAATTATTTAACAGTTTTCAATGTTTAATAATGTAATATAACCTCGCAATAACAAAAACTAACCTGTACATCCTAGTAAATTCTCTTTCTTCTCACGAAGATGGGTCTGAGGCATCACGTAATTCCTTTCTTCTCCTAATAAGGTTATTTTTACATCCCCGAATACGATTGTTGCCAAAAATCAAAACACCCAGGAGGTTTTCCATTTTGAATTTTGGTGTCACAATCAGTGAAAGATGGCGTTCACGGCGTTTATATTTCTATCTTTTCATATACGCTTCACTATTTCGCTTAAAAATTTGTGTCGAGCCAGTTCACGTGAATGGTCTCGCATTTTCACCACCAAAAACGTTCCGTAATACCGAGAGCTACTAATTTTTCACATTTTCGTTCATTTTGCTTTACGTAATAGACCCCCAGGATCGTATATGCAAAATTAATAATACGATGGAGCCATGTGATTTACCGGATCCGGATCAGATAAACCTAGGATTGAAGATTATGATCGAAAGGTAATCATTAATAATTACGCAGAATCTACCTTCTAAATAACCGACGTTCGTTACACCTAGTTTTAATCTGCTGTAAACCGTTTAAACTCCGGTTAAAACGAATCGTGAACCGGGCCCATTTCTGTAAGCACT